AGACTGCTGTATTCAGCAGCACAATGCAAGAAGAGGGACCTGAAAGAGTGGAAAATGTTTGCTGAGTTTGCAGAGACTGGAGATAAGGTACTTAACATTTTCAAAACAAAATCATCATCTATGTGTAAAGTGGCAAAAATTAATTCCCACTTGACATAATTTGCTTCCTTAGTAGAATTGCAATTACATGTACAAAACAATGAATCATGAATGTCCTGCACGTTCTGCAATGAACAACCTTCCTTGAGTTTGCTTTCCTGATATACAAATGTATAACATTAACCTCTACAAGTCGACAGACATCTTGGTCATTCCACTTCAGCTTCCATATTCTTTAAATGTCATGTACTTGTGACTTCACCCCATAATCTTTCTCATTAATCTCGCTTATAGTTCTTATTTAGACTTGAAAACAACCTTGACCTCAAGTGGTTTTTGAGCCTTGTTTTGTGGTGACCTATGAAAAAAAGACAGCAGCACACATGTATAGCCAGCTACCTTATACATCTGATACTGTATCCACTGAAGGTTGCCTTCCCCGACTATGCTGCCTTCATGATGCTGTCTGAGGCCTCCCTGGAGAACCTGAACACCAAGCTGGACCAGCCGATTTCTATCAGGAACTTCCGACCTAACATCGTGGTGTCAGGGTGTTCTCCTCATGCTGAGGTCAGGGAACTTGTCATAGCTTTCTTTCAATATTTAAAGATAACATAATAATTGATCTAAAATGGATAAGAATTGATAATTTCAGGTTAATAGTCTATCCATCATGAATAGTTTCACCAGGTTGGTAAATCACTGGGCATTCAGGTTTTTTTAGACACAACAGATAATATTATGGCCTGCCAATATTTTCAATGGCAGTCCTGTCATCTTCTTGGGGGCAATAATGAAGGCTTCTCACTACAGCGCCACCTAGCAATGGGAAGTAGAAATGCTCATTATTGGCCTAAGAAAGGAGCATATGGGTTACCAAAACCAAGGACATTATACAGAATTCTTAATTCTAATTAGTGTAAGAACCTTTTCTTTAGCCAGTGTCTTAGAGAAACTTGGTAATTGATGATTCTGTCAATGTTGTTAAGAATGCCAAGAATGCTTTTAGCGGAATATGTATGGTGCTGTTGAAAATTCAGAAGGCCATCACACTCTTAAGTTTCAAAGGTTTTCTCAAATTTTTAAGGATTCCTGGAAGTCCATCAAGATTGGTGAAGCTGAGTTCAGGAGGATGAAGCAGTGTGATAGGTTAGTAAATATTCTGTCATGGCGGGGTTACCTTAATGTATAATTCTTTGGTTTGTTCTTAAAACAAAAAGTTACAGGTAATGTAAAGATCCACTTTTCTGAGGTGATATTGTATTGGAAATAAGCCCAAACCTCTGCTTCCCTGAACAGGTGTGTCTTCACCACCATTGATCCTGAGACAGGAGTGAAGGGTGGAAAGGAGCCTCTGGATACACTCAGGGGGTAAGTACATTCAAGTATCTTACTGTCTTTTCTGCTGTCTTATAAACTAACTAAGAATGGAATCCTGGCTAACATGTTGAATATGACTATGGTAGATCACAAAATAGAGTGCAAGCCATGTTGAACAATGTGCCTATACAGCCTTTTACATGTACTTCATGTGTAAAATATGAATGTTGCAATCTAAATTAAGTGAAATCCCTGCAATTTACAGTTACAGGCTGGCTGAGGGACCAATGAGGAAGAAGGTGGGCACCTCGCCCATGTTCGGGTCTCACCTGGCTGCTGACAAGGAGGGCACCATCCATGTCGGGGATGCCGTGCTCGCAGAGGTGGACTGAGAGACGTCCGCGCATCTCAGCTTCCTCTGGTCGCTGTCATAATTTAGTTTCATTCAAACCCACAGCGGTTGTTCTAACACAAAAGAGGGATGAAGAGAGGCGGAAATTTATTCAATTGTACTAACAAAAGTGGTGTAGTCTAATGTTGGAGATGATATTGAAAATCTTGACTCCTGGGTGTTACTTATGAATACTTAATCAATATTATGTAATACAGAATAAATCAAGCAACTGGATAAGATCTCGGACCGGAGTTTCCTTCCGTATTTGGAGCAATTTGACACCCTCAGCCCGACGGGCTGTCATTTCTGTACTAAACGCGGGTCGGAATTTTTCACTCTTTAGGTGGAAAGGGGTGCCGTTCCGCTTATGAATACACTTGATTGATATTTTGTGCGCCCAGTTTATTTAGGGGTAAATAAGGCACATCAAAGTACATTTTTAAATAAGGGGTCATTTTTTTCGTCATTTTTAACCATGGCTGCATGGAAAAAACGAATTTTCCCAGGGTAACGGCTTAGTACTCGAAGAAGCTCAGAACGTAATGTTTCCAAAATTAGAATTTAATCGAAATCGATGGGATACGTTTACCGCTACCTTCGATGGCCCGAACGCACCCACAACGCATATAGAACGTACCATCCCGGCGGACAGGCAAAAAGGCCACATAACCATCCGCGCGGACTAATACCAGGAAGTCTTCGCTGGACCACCAACATTGCGCCACCTATAAAGGCTACAACTAACAGGCTTTTCAGAAAATACAAATATATGTACACAGATATTACGATTACGGGATTATCGCGGCCAAACATACCATACAAAGTCACGTTTCCGGCGATTTACTGCGCACTTACTTAGACTCTGGTCAGATTTAAACTCCGACCCGGAACCTTAAATCCTCTGAAAAGTTGCTTGATTTTTTTTGCATTATGTAATATTCTACCTGGATGTATAATCTTCATGGATGTGTGTTATGCCGAAGGGTGGTTATTCTGGCTATACTGATACAGAAAAACCTCATCAATAATTGTCAATCATAGTGGTCACTGAATTGCAAGATGCAAAGGACAATACCAGATCAACCTTGCATTCTATTTCCCAAATAAGGGCCAACAGTAGTTATTTTATCAGCTATTTCCACAGGTCATATATACAAAAAAATGTATACATGTATATACTGGTACATGTACATGATGCAGACCAGCATTTGTTTTTCATAGCTTTATTACCAACCATTAATCATGCTAGTTTATGGTCTCTTGAATGGATTTTATGGGTCAACCTGCACATGCATAGCCTCTAATCAGGGATTTTAAAGTTTTGAGTAGAAAGGTGTATTTTTGATAACATTTTGGATTGGCATGAGAGAAGTCAAAATAAACTAACAAGGTTTAAGAGTGTGCATTTCCTTCTTACCTTAGCTTCCCTCGGTCACACAGTGGAAACATACTAGAATGTGTTTCCCCTATGTTTCCACTGTGGGACTGAAGGAAACACATAGGAAACACACTGGAAAACATATAGATAATCCGTGACCAACTTCTCCACCCATGGAAACACAAGGAGCTGTCACAGGATTCTGACTGGAGCAGAAAATCATTTCCAATGTGTTTCCTTCTCGCCAATTAGAGACTGTGTTTCCAGTGTGTTTCCTCTGTGTGTCTTGGTTTAAATTAATCACTCCTAGGAGCAGAGCCCAGCAGCATTTCTCAGAAATTGTGTTGCAATATCAGACAGACTCCAGCCCCTCGCCTACATATATACAGAATGAAACAATGTCTTCATTGTTCCAAATTTTTGCCTGTAGTTATATATACCTATACAAGGAATACAAGGGGCAGAATTTCTATTCATCATTTATAAATCAAGGACATTTGTAACTGTGTTTTATCACCAGTGTTCATGTGTTTCTAAACCTGTATCTGGATGGGTATGCATTGCCTTGAAAGAGAATTGGTCCTTCTAGTTCCTTAGAACACACAGTAAGGGACAAAAAGGATAGTCTGTATCATGTGACTTGTGTGACCACATGGTCAGGTGGTCTGTCATGGCACCACTGTACAATTCATTCCTTCACTGTTCTGTCTATGCCTTGGCAGTGCATGGATAATTGATTTTTCACCCATAACAAGCCCCAGGGATAAGGCAGGAGCCTGCTGTCCTTCAGCTTTGCTGGGCTCTGCTCCTAGGAGTGATTAATTACCAGGACACACAGAGGAAACACACTGGAAACACAATCTCTAATTGGCGAGAAGGAAACACATTGGAAACCCTTCCACTATACCTCCCCTAAAACAAACATTAGGGACCCTCTGAAGAGGGAAAAAGGAGAGGACACACAGAGGAAACATACCCTCTTCTGTCCAGAGTGTTTCCCCTGTATTTCCACTATGTGACCGAGGTTTGGAAGGGTAGCTTACACTAGCTTAGATTTTTTCATTACTTTAACACCTCTTCACTTCCAGTAAAACTATTATCATTCAAGTTATTGGAAACTATTACTAAAATAGTAGTCTCTGCCACACTCCTTTGCTTGCTGGCTAAATACAAAGTGGAAACAAACCAGTGTAACCCAGTATGTTTGGAACAACCACAGACTCATCTTTCAACAAACTTCTTTAATGATATGAGGATAAAGCTGTACATAACTTCAGAAATACATACATGCCATATCATAAAAATGCAGATATAAAGCTACCTGTGGTATAAAAATATACATTCAGATACTATGATCAAACTTTTATCTGATATTGTGATAAAACTATCTTGCCACAAACTTGAATTCCTACATATCTTTTTCTATATTGCTTTATCCCTCCATAACTTGGAAGGTATTTATAGCTGAGAATAATTACATTATGGTATTTCAAATTTCCTATGTCTAGGATTACTTTCTGTTCCTATCTTCAACAATGGTCATTTTCATCAAAAACATGCTGTTCTTTCTCTTCTAGCACAATTTACCAAACTGGTCTGAATTGAACTGGACACATACCTTTAGGTCTTGATCACATAATTCAGCTTGCTTGAAATTCAAAACAGCTGTGAATTGTAAAGACTGAAATCAGTCTTTCCATTAACACAATAGAACACTGGCTTGTGAAAAGTGGTCAATTTTTTCTCACATTCTATTTACTACATTCATTGATATCAATATTTCAAAAGTTGGACCTATGATCATTTTTTTCTTGGTAACTGTGAAAACACAAGTTACTATATATAAATTTTCTGACTTTGACATTTTTCATTGTAAAGTGTGACACATTTGCAAGAAATACCTTTTGGACAGTCCATAAAACTTTCCATGGATCCCATTGCATTCTGGGAGACACTTGGCACTATGGGTTGGTAACGGGGCACACAACACCATTAGATTCAACATGATGTATTTGATGCATGCATAGTGTCAGTGTGTCTGGTCTGGTCTATGTTGTCTAGGCAATGATGTTGTTTGTTCCCTGAACTACCAGTACCCATAGTGCCCTGCATCTTCCAGGATGCAATGGGACCCATTAAAGTCCATGGAAACTCATTTAGGGAGGGGGAAAGTTGAAAGCGTGAACAGCGTTGCTGAATGCAGATGTGTGATAACTTGGTCCCATCCCCGCACCAATCCCATGGTTCATGGCAGCTGGGTCCTCCAGCGGAGGGTGCTGTCCCTTCCCCAGGATGTTCTGGATGCTCATGGCGCTATGCATGAAGCTCTCCTTGGCCCGCGCCCCTATCAGGGGTCCTGTCCTTAAACCTGGGTGGTGAGGGTCGGGGTGTGCCTGGCTCAGCATGGGGCTGGTGTGGAAGGGAAGCTGGGGCACGCCAAGCGCCGCGTTGTCGTTCTGTGGCCCTGCCACGTTGTGGGGGACGTCGGGAAACATGCCAAAGTTAGGCACGTGGGGGGTGATGGGTGGGGGAGGGGGCGGTAGAGAGTTGACGAGGGTGTTGGCAGGGGGCCCGCTGGTCACGGCAGGGGGGAGATTGAAGGTGGTACGGGGGATGTTCCCATCTGGAACAACAGGGAAGTTCTGGGAGAAGTTTAAGGGTAACCCAGCAGGTCTGGGAGGTGAGAAGGGGTTAAACGGGGTGGCGATTTCAGCACGTCCCTCGGGAAGCCGCGGAGGCTGCGAGGCAAGCACCTGATTGGGGAGGTAGGTGGGCAGGGGAACGTCTCCATGGACCTGCTTGGGTGGATTGAAATTGGTGTAGAACTGGCCCACCTCGTGGGCTCGGCTGTGCGGGCGGCTGGCCTCTGATGCAGACGTCGGCATCCCGGGCAGGAAGGAGGCGGAGGTGTTGAGGTTTGGCTGAGGATTGTGTTGTGTGGAAGGCACAGTGCCATGAGGCCGGCCATCTCTCTGGAAGTCAGGACCAGGGAACGGGGCCCTGGGCTGGATGTTGTGCCTGTGCATGTCCTGGCCCCTGGGGTGGATGTTGAAGGCCGGGTTGAAGAAGTCGTGAGAAGTTGCGAGCCTCGGGGGATGAGGAGCTGGGAGATGCTCCCTGCCATGACCATTCACAACCTGTCCATGGTTAATATCGGAAGATGTTCTCACCCCTTTTAAGTCTTGCATGGGCTGCGGTCCTATATGGTGAGGCCCTGGCTGCGATCCTGGCGTATCTCGGTGAACTACTGTCCAGGTCATCGGTCTCTCTGTATTCTTTTGTCTACTATTGTTCCCTTCAGATACTGGCTGACTACTTCTCATGGTCTGGTTATTCTCGGTTGGCTTGAGTCTCTTGGGCTGTTGTTCCTCAGCCTCCCGCTGCCTTTTGTTCTTTCTGCCAGCCTGGTTCTCTCCTGAGCTGGGCCTTTGGTTGGAAAAGGAAGGCGACTCTGGTTCCACTGACAAGGGCCCATTGTGGTGCCTTGGGGAACGGTCAATGTTGTTGGTTGTAGGATGTCCAAGAGCTGCCACAAAGCTTTGGGGGTTCCTGGTCACATTTGCAGAGGCTGTTCGCGGACTGGATGCCTGCTGTTCAGTAATTTGGATCTGTCTACTGGCCATGTTCTGTGCAGTGTCAGGTCTACTGGCCTGCTGTACAACTCTTCCACCTGATAAAGCTTCAGTGTGGCTTCTTTGGGGGCTCTGGACAGGCAAGCGAGGACTAGTTTGAGATGTTGCTACATCATGTCCATTTGCCTGGGCAGGGCTCTGTTGATCACCTTGCCAGGGGTTGTTCCTGTTCTTTGCTGGTCCCTGTCTTCCCACGGTACCCTGAGGCGATGGTCTTGGTCTGTCCTGTCTTTGCTGAGGCTCCATTTGTTCTGATCGGCCACTGTGTGCGTTGACTCTGGGTTCTCCTGGCCTGCGTGGGACAGGAGGCACCCTTTGGTCATTGGTCTCCACTGTTCTTTGTGGCACACTAGTCATCAGCTGGGTGCTGGGGTCTGATGTCCTGCAGGCAACACTGTTCAGTCTTTGTTCCTGTTCCATGGACAGAGGAGCACTCTCCCGGCCCAGGGGCTGCTGTGATTTCTGGGCTTCTACACTACTGTTGGTCTGACTCTGCATCCTCTGACTCAGTCCCTGGTTCCCCCAGGCTACAGTGCTTGCTCCAGTTGCAGGAATGCTGCTGTGTGTTTTTGATACCATTAACAACCTGGATGCTTCAGAAGCTGCCGGAGAAGTGTTCTGCTCTGGGTGAGGGTGCTGGTGGGAGTGAGGATGGAGCCTTGGGCTTAGCAAGGAGGAGATATTCCTTCCATCCCACCTTCCTGCAGCTGCCTGGGATCCTACTCGGTCAGCAGAATCAGCCGACCTGATGCTGTCCTTGTTTTGGATGAGGTGTGATGTTGGAGTGATGTTTGGTGGAGGCATGGATGTTTTGGAACTTTTCGAAGATGCCGTTGGTGTAAAGTTTGCAGCAGCTTTTGGACTCTGATTAAAAAGGTCAGGCTGAAGAGGGAAGAATGAAAAGGTGGGTGATTTCTGCACTGAGGATGTTACTGCAGGGACAGGCGATGGCCTTGAGCCCATAGGAGATTTTGCACTCACATTTATTGTGGGAACTAAAGTTGTGGTGGAGGATGGAGGTCCTGTTGAGGCTTGATTCCCACTATTTGTCGTGGTTGGTCTATTTAACCAAGGAACATACAGGAAACCACCAGCGTGTGAGGAAGGCACAGGGTCAGTCCCCTGCCCTTCCACAGGGTTTGTCACATTCTGTGTACGGGTTTGTCCTGATGTTTTTCCTGATTGCACTTCTGGGGAATAAATCACAGATCTGGCGACAGATGCTTCTGGTCTGAGATTGTTGTACTGCGAGTTGGGTGGTCTTTTGGGGGTTCCATGTGGACTAGGCACTGTTTTATCTGCATTAGGTGGGGGAGTTTCTTGAACAGAAGAAGGTCTGGAAGTGGTATTTCCTATCAAAGCCTCCGCAGAGTAACTCAACCTGCTGTTCTTGGTTGGAGTTCTTTGCACCACAGTTCTACCCTGAGATGGAGGGCCTGTACTGCCCTGAGCCTGGGTTACCACACTGCTGGTGGGGGTGGCAGTCTTGGGCAGTTGTGTAGGTACAGGGACTGGAGATGGAATCAGTCCATGTGGGGCATTTGTACTGAATGCAGCAGAGGTTTGCTCCCTAACCGAACTGTTAGTGTTGTTACCTATGGCTGATATATTTGCCTGTGACAATCCTTGTATACCAACACTTCTTGAGTCCTTAGTACTTGTCACAGTGCCTTCAGAAGTTCCAGACACCGATGGTATCTTGTCTCTTGTACAGGTAGAGGTTAGGTTTGCAGGATTACCCTTTGTCTGAGACTTATTAGGACCAGCGTTTTTGCTTTTCCGTTCCTTTGTCTTTGCTTTACCCGCTTCACTTGCCTTTGCTTTGGCTTTTGCTCTGGACTTTCCTGGTGGCACTGGCACAGGACAAACTGGTGCATGAGGAGTGGACACTTGCTTAGGCAGTCCCATATGGAGACCACTGTTGTGTCTTTGTTGTTGTAGCATAGTTGAATCAGTCCCCTGACCACTGACATGACTTCCTCCTAAGACTCTAGTGTTTTGGGCACTACTTGAACTGAAGGTAGGACCTTGCAGGCCAACATTATTACCGATGAATGCCATTGATGTTCCTGCCGTCTGAGGTGCAGTTTCAGTACTCTGACTGGTGGCCAGAAGAATTGTAGAATGCTGTCCACCCAACTCTCTTCTCTTATCATGCTCAGTGTTCCCAGCAGCCTGAGACAGTACATGAAACTGTTGTGTATTGTTTGATGACGTGGTGGCAGCTGCATTCTGAGAATTTGTCGAAATCAAGGTGACGTCGCAAGTTTGCTGGCCTGGATGCACAGGTGCAGCAGCTGCAGCTGAGCTGGCTTGCGACACCTGAAGGCTGCTGAACAGGGGTTGCTCTGACGGTGACGATAGATCAGGAGACTGTGCGGAGAATATGGACTCCGCAGCTTTCGCAAGAATGTCCTGTGTGTTCTGGCTGGTACCAGCTGTAGCAGCCTGGGTCGTGTTCACCTGGAGGGGGTTATTAAATGGCACCATTGGGTTGGTTGAGAGAGAAGAAAGAGAAAGTAGCTGCACTCCGCCACCAACAGGCACCTGCATGGTTCCCCCGCTTCCGGTTTTGTTGAGGTTTTGGTTGAACTGCGAGCTCTGGTTGGTGAGGAAAGCTGTGGGGGTTGGCACGACGGAGGTGTGGTTCACAGGACATGGCAGCTGGAGGGGGGAGACAGGAAACATCAGGGGCGCCTGACCAGCCAACACCTGCTGGCCAGAGGCAGCCGAAATAGACGGATTGCTCAGGGCCGCTACAGTCTGGCCACCTGAGATAGTATTGGCCAAAGTTGAGACCATGGTAGACGTCGAACTGATGATGTTTACTGGCAGAGAAGTGTGAGGCACTTGTGCCTGCATGGCCGGGTGTGGTAAGAGGTAAGGGGTTGATGTTACTGTTGATGCCTGAACTGTAGCTGTTGTGTTCACAGCGATAGGACAAGGAGTGGCTCCAGATGAGGCTGGCTGAGACATGATTGGAGTGCATCTGGTGGCCTGACTACTGGGGGGCTGGTTCACTACAGTTGTTACTCCAGACTGCATTATTGCTTGACTATCTACAGTTGTAGGGGACTTTATCAGCCCTGAATGTGTTGTCCCAATCTTCGTGGACCCACTGTCCTTATCCTTGGCTTTGCCTTGTGTGGCAGAGTCTGTTGCTTTTGCCCCCTTTTCTCCACTTTTAGTGGCCTTTTTCTTACTGGACTTCTTCGACTTTTTCTTGCTGTCACTGCTGGAAGACGACAACTTGAGGAAGACTGGTGCCTGATCCTGCACTGGTGACCACAGGCATGAGGATGATCTGGTTGCCAGGACCTTGCAGGATGGTGAACATGGGACCCGTCATGTTGGGCACCACGTTAGGGTTACTGGGCAGAGGCAGCTTCAGGGTCCCACTGGAGTTAATGGTCGGACCAGCTACTACCTGCATGCCATTCACTCCCGGTACCTGAATGTTGTTGAAGCCTGGTCTGGGCATAGTGGTGGTGGACCAAACCATGCTTGTGACCGGCTTCGTACTGTTGTTATTTAGGACAGGAGATGTCAGACTATTCGTGATCCCTGTGGACAGTCTTGGCACGGCAGTGCTTTGGGACACATTGGTGAGGTTGGTACAGGCACTTACGGGAAGCATGCCAACGGCATTCATGTTCTGAGTGGCCAGCATGTTGGAGAACTGTGGGTGCTGAACTGTTTCTGTCGTGCTCAACTGGTTCATGGAGCCCTGCACGTTCTGGGGAACCCCCGGCACAGGAAGGTACTGAATTTGATTGGCAGGTACAGCCGAATTCCCCACCTGACCGGCTGACATGAGAACTGGCTGCCCATTGGCTAGAGGTACCTCCTGTGTGCTGGGCATATTATTTGGCATGACGGTGACCGTCACATAGCTTGGGTTCTGCACACCCCCCACTTGGGAGACCGTGTTCACTAGAACAGAGTTTGTGCCCAGGACGTTCTGTCCCAGTAGAGAGTTCTGTGGCTGTATGAGATAGGGAGATACTGACGACGGTGTGTTTATTGCCTGGGATGAACCTACAGTGGCACTCGGTGCACTCCCTAGAATTGGGATGACAGTGGGTCCCATGGCACCCTGAACTGCTGTGTTTTGTGGTACTTTTGCCATGCTGGTCTGTACTGTGGAGGCACAGGGCTGCGAGCCGAGCACCGCTCCACTCCCTGCACTCATCAGTGGCGAAACAAGCGACATGTTTGCTGTGTTGACTGTAGGGTTGACCTGAAGGGCTCCGGGCCCTGCTGAACTCCCCACAATGGAAGGGAAGACTTTGACAGCTGGCGTAGGGACTTGGACAAGGTTGACCAGACCTCCGGCCTGATTGACAACCGTCTGACCAATAGGGACCTGCTGGCCGACCACTGATGAACTAGCCGCTGGCTTC